GAACGTGTAGAAAGCATAATTGAATGAACTTGTCTATATGAATTAATTTATTGATTTTGAATCAAGGTGATGAAACACTTAATCAACCTATAGACCTCTAGACATCCACTCTACTCCAATTATGATTGTAATTTTGCTAAATTACGGAATGACTTTCAATCTAAGGGCTGTATTTTTTCCAGAGATGTATGACTTCCATTTATTCATACGAATAACATTCATTTATTGAACAATTCACTTCTAGGCTTACTGTATTTTTAGCTTCGCAGCTAAAAATCGAGAAGTAAAGGTAATCAAATAGTCGTACCCCACCCCCTCCCCCACCTCCTCCTAGCAGTCCTATTTCCTCACATATTATTTGTATCCTGCAAATCTTGTAGTGTTATAGAGTTGTACCCTGCTTTTTTTGCGGCTAAAGATAAAATTGGCAAACTTCGCCCACAGCTATCTTGTTGGAACTAGCATTCAACAAATATCATTTTCGGTGAAAATTTAAAAAGACCAGCATATCTTCCTTAAGAACTAGGAGAACACTTCTTTACAAAGATATTGTTAACTACAGTATTTCTGTGAGAATTTGTTAGCACTCGCCTACAGTATTCCAAAGGAAATTAATTTAAAGTATTGCACTTTCCATTTCTATGTATTTTATCAGCCGGTTCCAAACATTTGAAGATGTCGACATGCATTTCTGGGAGTTGAAAGGTGATCGGCACTTGGGTTGTTTTTTGAAAAGTACTCTGTATTCTGCCAACTTTTATTGTAATTTATTGATGGAGGCCAGTAAGGCAAATTTAAAGATGGTGTCAGGGCTAATCTGGGCACCTGCGCTTCTCACATGAATGCTAAATGGAAGATTTTAGCTAAGCCATTCCATTCCCTTGCGGTTCACTCATTTGAGTTCGACTTTAGACACAACTGAAACCGGACCTATTGCCGCCCTTTATACGATATAAAGTACGGTCTGGTCCTAATTTTGTACCCAAAGTACTTATTGTTAGCGCAAATGAATCATATGATCTACCGATTTCAGATCATACTCAACGACCTATAGGTATACCAAATTTAGCAGCGCCCTGATTTTCGGCCAAATAGAATCTTTGCTCCCACTGATTGCATCTTCGCTTTGTTCGCATTGTTTTTCATCTTTAGTCCTTGAGAAAAACGGTGACATTGATGAGCGTGCCGAGCGATCTTTCATCAATCTAACCCCGTTCTTTCCCGAGATATTATTCTCGTAATGAAACAAACACGTGAATCTTCCAGATCTTCTCCAACGATTTTGTTCGCATCAGTGCGCGCGCGAAATTTCTCTCCATTGCAAGATATTTTTCGCACTTTCGCCAGCAGTATGACACTCCATGCGATATGTGTCCGTCCTTTGTCTTTGACATGTATCGTTTCACCAATCAATGATCACATGTGGCAGGTTTTCTCCTTTTATCGCTATGTCAACCCTGCTGACCATGGATAACCTTGGCCTGTGAACATTGCAGAAAAATTGCAGATTATTCAACATATCGTTCTGCTCTATTTGGACTCTTTGATATCATTTTGCAGTCATCCATATAAATCTAGGATTAGAGATCTGTTATGCACGGTCTTTTCGATTTCCAGGACAATACGTGTCACTGATTGTCCTTTTTTATTGTAGGATTACGGTAGGAATCCTACTGCAGTGTATCACTGAATGAAACGCCTGTTTTCAAGAATTGTTTTGGTGAATAAAATTATGAGGCAATTCAGAAATTGTTGCGGTGCACCTGCAACTTTTGAACGAAGGTCACACGAATAGTAGATTTTATCTTCTCAGCTACTAGATTTGATTGAGATAGGGGTTTTCATATTTTTTGAAGCTTATTGTGAGGCCAAATTTTCCTTTCATTAGAGCAAAATCCTCCTCAGAGTTTATACCGTTAACCACAGTAATGAAGGGACATCCGTCTAAACTGTGAGCTTCAAGTGTTCAGCTGTACCGAACGGGCGGTTTTGTCGTTATGAAAACATGGCAAAAATCTGTTGCAGACCTTCTTTTTTTTCGAAATTGCAATGGTATTCGTAGTTGATGCTGAAAAAAGATTTTAACCCAGATGAAAGGCACGTATCGAATGCAGAGTTAGCAGCTTTTGCGAGAACTTCTCCCCCTCTTTTCGAAAGGAAATTTGTTTTCGAATAGCGGTCCCGACTGCATTGCATCGAAAAATTTGTCCTTTCTCTGCAATTTCAACTCCCACACCGGACAATTGTATAGCCGACGCTTTTTTTGCTTTTTTTCTCGAAGGCTCTTGAGCGACATTCGAACAGAGAATTTTGAGTGGTATACATGTCCAGATGGCTTTTCAATTCTTTTTATCGTTTCGCGCACAAATATTTGACCATTAGTCATTCTGACTCATCGCTTTGGGTAATACACATTTGTGCGTGGGTTGCGCGTTGCGATTGTTGGATAAGTAGAGGGTTATGCTTGAAAATTATGGCAGACTATTGCATATTAGGCGAAGCGAAATAATTCTAAGGAAATCGGACTTTGAGCGGAAATAAACACATTGCAGCATGTAAGCAGATATGGATGATTAGCCCGTAGAAGAGATGACCGCCAAAATGCAGGCCGATAGATATATTTATTTGATTAGAATTTTTTTACTCAAGATGTTACGTCTTTGAGTTTTTCGCCTTCCATAGATTGTGTAGGTATGCCTAGGAGCGATTAGAATGAAAAAAATAAATTGGTTGGAAAAAACAGCCATATGCATAGTCTTACTCTTGCCTTTTTGCATATATTTCTCGACACGATAAAAATTTGTCAAGCTTACCCTGGCACGACGGAGAATCTTCCCGTTTTTGAAAGAAAAAAATCGCGTTTTCTACAATTTCTTAGATTTTTTGGGTTTTCACAATGAGGAAAGTCAGTAGCAGACGTCGAATTTTGTCTCAGGAGTATTGGCGTGAATCTTTGCAGAGTGGAGACTTTCCGAAAGTTTCTGCTTTTATTTTTCGGAAATTTTTTCCCGTTTGAGCATTTGACTAATTTTTCTCAAATGATAGGTTTCTGGAAGAATTCCGAAACAGGTATTGAGAAGTTTGCCTAGCGGAGATTATTAAAAATATGTTTACAATAAATAATTTTTCCTTGAATACGTCTTTTTTTTCTGATAAGAAGTCAATTGAGTTGAATTTGCATTCTGCATTCAACTTGCTTCATTCATTTGGATTCTTTCAGTTTGGATTCTTTTACAAATCTTAACTGTCCACTTGTAGGTTCAGGGGAATTTTATTGAATCAAGGAATATCTAAACTTGACTAATTTGCATTCGTAGGTCAAAAACTCATCAAACGTCCTCAGTGTCTCAGCCTTCGTCTGAGATCTCGCGCCCAAAAACTTCAAATCAACAATGAGATTCCCGAAGATAGGTGTGGCCATTAGCGAATGACCCACTAGAAAACAGAAAATCAAAACAGCGCTTTCGCCCTGAGATCTTATCTTTTCTTGCACCGTCTTCGTCTAGTACAACATAAGTCTGTTCCACAATAAACATTCTGTTTGCCAAAACTCCATGCAAGTTTTCTTTATTTGGCCAGTGATGTATGGTATATAGTCTTGGCGACGTTCAAACTGTCAACTTGCACTTCTTGTCATCAAGGTTAAGATCATTTTTTGTATTCTCATCATCTGCAACAAGATTTTTTTCTAAGTGATAAACAAAAGTTGAGCATTGCTACAGTGGCACATTGTAGCCTACAACCTAGATTAGTCTAGACCCGAAGTGAATGATTTGGTGCACGTGAATTTTTTCGCACTCTCATTTCAATATTTTGGTCACAAAAACAACTTCAAAAGACTAAATTAGAACCATCAAAAAATTGCCCTATTCTATTTGAACTTTCCACACACCTGTCTTTTTTAGCAAAGCCGTGGCACCCCATTTTAACACTCTCTAATTTGCTCGTATTCTGGGCTTCACAAGAGCTATCGGGCTAGGTTTCGATATACAAGAGATTTCATTTTGCGTCCTCCTTACTACCAGTTGTTTTTGTCTTTTTCACCGCTACATGGATTGTTTCCCCTCGATAGACAACAACACAATAAGCTTGAACATTCGGTTTGGGCCTGCCTTAGTTTCTGGCGAGTAGTCAGCTATAAACCTGAATTTAGTACAGTGTACCTGCTCCAAACATCTGATTACTATACATCGTGACCAGAAATCTTGAAATAGGTAGATACCACCCCGTTCATTGAAGTATCCTAGAAGGAATGTTCTTTCGAATGATCTGTCTTAGCTCTTCAATACAAATTTGAAATCAAGGCTTATATTTCACGCATGCTACAATAGTTACACCTGAAATGATAGAAAATAGGCATAAAATGATTTCAAAAATAATATGATCTCTTCTGCCAACCAATAAGAGGTGTTATACTGCTTCAATATTAGCACTGAAGAACTTGTTTTGCAAAAAATCAAAATTCGGTGGTTTTTCTTTGTTCGATAGACTTTTGCATTACATGTTCTCTGTCTGTCTGGCTCCAAAAATTCACCACCCAAAACAAATCGAAAATTTGCAGTAACATTTGCCCATAAAATCCGATTTCCTGCATTTTCAATGCAACAGAACACAAGTGTCAGAAAAAGTGCACTTTGCACTTTGAGGGCGGGGGGGGGGGGGATAGAAGGTGCCACAATATTATTTAGACATTTTTTTTGTTTTTCTCAAGAATGTGGTTCTGTATGGGAGAGCTAGGACAACATTACATTAGGCGTGCAGACAGCGATCTTAGATAACCTAAACTACATTGTCATCTTTTTATCCAAGGGGTCGAGCGGAGTGTTTTGGATCGCTCCAGTGCTACAAACTACACTCTACTCCCTTTCTCTCCCATCTCCCCCCCCCCCCCCCCCGTCTTGCCTACCACCGTTCGCCACCGCCCCTTACGCTCTCTCGCCCGCCCATGCTATTACTCGATTCGCATGACGTGACTATCTTTACACTATCGCTGTATAAAAGGGCCTTTCCGGCTACCATCCACATACCACAATACAACTGAGTTTTCTACAGCTCAATTGTCTACTGTCACTAATTTACGCCAAGCAATCTACTTCTGCTGAACAAGCTATTATGAAGATGAAGATCCGCACCAGGGGTAAGTTCTTACCTTACCTTACCTAGTCGTACCTCATTTACCTCCTTACAGCTCGTATCTCAAGCCTTACCCTGGCCAAGGGAGTGAGTTTTGGGAAGAAGCGGGACAATTCGAACAATTGCAAGATTCGGACCAACTATGGAATGATCGAAGGGCGCCGATATACTACTGTTGATGGATTCCAAATGGATGCGTTTTTGGGAGTGCCGTATGCCCAACCGCCGGTGGGAGAGTTGAGGTTCAAGGTAAGCTTAACTATACAAAGAATTCTTTGCAATCATACCGTACCCCCTTATTTTACAATTCTGCCCTAAACTTACTAATTCAAGTCCTGATCCAGCTGTCAAACTAGTTGCAAGCAAGTTGTCATTTTGTTGCCAACCCAAATGCCAACCAGTTGCTATTCAAATGCTTACCCAGCTGCCAATCTTGTTGCCAACCCAGTCGTCAACCTAGTTGCCCATGCTGTTGCATATCCAGCTGCTGAACCAGTTGCCAGCCTAGTTGCCGATCTTGTTGCCAACACAGTTGCAAACCTAGTTGCTGATCTTGTTGCCGACACAGTTGCCAATCGAGTTGCCACCCTAATTGCCAATCTTGTTGCCGACCCAGTTGCAAACCTAGTTGCTGATCTTGTTGCCGACCCAGTTGCAAACCGTTGCTGATCTTGTTGCCGACTAGTTACTAAAGTCTACGTGCACCCATTTGCCACCAACTGCAGCCGTGTTGCCATCCAAGCGCTAAATCCACACATGAAACCACTCCCAGTCAGAGACGCAGAGTCGGTTAGCCCCCGGACAGGTTTTCTGCGCTGCTTTTTCACGTGCCAGCCAAGCCATCGACGAAAGACATGGAACGTTCCCGAAAACTGCGCTAGCGCATCAAGATGCGACCACCACAGCGGGTAATTTCGCGCGCAGTTTTACAGACATGGCGACGTTTCTTTTGTCTTTCGACCATTTGCGCACAAATTGCTTATGAAGTATGTACTCTCTGCAATCAGCGGACAGCGGAGTAGCGGACATATGTGTGCGATTCAGAATTGGCTTAATTTCGCTGGAAGGGGAGGGAATATGAGCATTTTTAGAAAGAAAGGATATCTTAGAGTAAGGCAAACAGTCCTCGATCTCCGAAACTGATTCGTACTAATTTGCAGGTTTATTATCAAAATCAGTTTGGCATTGCAAATTTGAACTTTAAAAACCTTCGAAAAGATACCTTACAAACCTTCTAATTCGACTTCGTTTCCTTTTCTTCTCACAAGCAAGTCTGCTATTTTCTGAGCTTAAATTGACTTTTGTAAAATTTTGCCTTAAAGAGGCCTTTAATCATATTGGCATACAAGCGTCCAAGCAAATTCTTATGCAATCTACAGTAAGAAGCAAAGAAAATATACTGTAGCAGGATATCAAAATCTCTCATGTGCTTGATTACGTTAGTTTTTCTTCTAAACAAATCTACCCTTTTATGCGCGGACTTGTTCTTTTCCAATCTTGTATCGTAATGTTTCACAGCGCTTTCCTTTATTTTTTCAAATTTTGCTCCAGATCTATTTCATAAATGCGAGAATTCCGTGCGCAACGAAAGTTTCATCCTTGTCTTTGATTAAAGTGTCCAAAAACTGCAAAAAATGCTTTACAACCGTTTCACCTTCTAAGTGGATAGAGCTGATGACAATAAGCAATCACTTCTAGCGCAAGAAAAAACTCTAAATCACTTAATCATTTGTCTTCGTTGTTACTCTTCACAAAGACAATTTTTTTCGCGTTGACGGTCACACATGCAGCCATATTTTGCGCTGGACTCATGTGGCGAGTAGTTTAACCTTGAGTTTTTCATCTGCTCGTCGAGACCCTGAACCGGTCGTTCGATGACGACGTAGCATCGTCGTGGGTAGCTCGTAAAGGCCTAAACTCTACAGGCAAAAACTTTGCAGTTGTTCGCGAATTGCCTGGTTATATTGTATTGTGTGTGTGCAAAGTGGCTGACAATATTATAGTGCTTGTGTCGATGGGCTGCGCCTGCAAAATATCATCATTAGATGACATGTGGGTATCGTGCACAATTTATTACAGGGTTTGTGGTCGATCAGCAAAGGGCGTACACATAAACAAATTCTTTGTGAGGCTATAGACAACCAAGATACAATCGTAAGGACCTCTTTCAAACAGCAAATGTGGGGCCTATCCAATGTTTGGCAGTTTCGGCGGGCTGTTTTTGAATTGGAGAACTTTTAACAAACTTCTATATGTCCTGTAGAAGTTCCGACAAGCTTCCGTTTGTCTTGCGAAAGTTTCGCGCGCTTGTTCGAGCGTTGCACTTCACCAGTAGATGCTAAGCAAAAGCTGAGACACATAGGTGCACTTTCGAAAATGTTCGCATGATTACACTAATCCAATCAGATCAAAAACACCTTTGTTTTCTTTCCTTTTGTTTTTACAGCGACCCTCAACCATAATCATACGGGAATTATACTTTTCCTACATCAGGAATGGGTGGCCTTTTTTCTCTTGGTCAGAACATTCGCTGATTGGTTGCGCGTCCCAGAGGAGGCGTGACTTGTTTGTGATTGGCGGGTTGCTAGAAGTGGTAAACGACAACACGCGGCTAGATTAGACTGCTGAACTTATTCAAAACCATGGAAGAAATTTTATGTAATTATTCCCCTGATCATTTTTCTTACCCTCCCCTCCCCCCCCCCCGGGGGAATAAAATTGCCTCTTCCATGGCTCAAACAAACCTTCTTTATTCAAAAATTGCAAATATCGCAAATATCATCCTTCCGCTCATCAAACATCGCGCAATTAGCGGTTATCAATGTTTTACGACCGCAGCCAATCTTCATCTTTCCGAAAGTGATCTCTGTTTTAAACCGATCTCTGTTTTAGAAACCGCAACGTCTTGAACCATGGGATGGCGTACGAAAATGCAAACAGTTCGGCAATCGTTCGGTACAAAATGATATGATTTGGGACAAATTTACAATCAATACACCGCAAGGCGAGGACTGCTTGTACCTGAACGTTTTTGCGCCGGCAATCGAACCGGATAAGGTTGGTTGGATTTTTTTGTGGAGAAAGATGGGTAGTAAGGGTCTGCTTGTTGATGCAGAGCTATCCGGTAATGTTCTACATTCATGGAGGTGGTTTTTTGATGGATTCTGCTGTACGGTATACGCCCGAGAAGATGTCACGGTAGGTTTTGGATTGCTTATAGGGTCAGGTAGAAAGTAGGTTCAAAATCAAAATTCGTAGGCTAACTCCGCCCATCTAGTGGAGAGCTCCGCCCACAAAATGTATAAAAAGCAATTTCAGGCTCCTGGTAAGGCATGGCGTGGTCGTTGTAACCATCCAGTATCGCCTGGGATTTCTCGGTTATTTTTGTACCGGTGATGACGTCGCCAAGGGGAACTACGGATTATGGGATCAGTATGAGGTAAATAGACCCTTCGCTCCCGCTCCCTAGGATGTGTTTTCCCTATTTAAAAGCTAATGTTTAGGCTCTGAAATGGACCAAAGAGAATATTCACCATTTTGGCGGCGATCCTAATAGGATCACTGTCGCCGGCCAAAGCGCAGGAGCCGTGTCGGCTGATCTGCTCTCGCTCTCTCCACTTTCTCGAGGTTTGTTGAATACTCAAGCAAAACTTTGCCAATCTCGAGGTTCCCCAAAAATAAATCTTGTTTAGACATGTTCCAACGAAAGATCGTGATGGGTGGAAGTACATTTTGCTATTGGTCCACGACCACAAAAGAAAAATGTGCCGACTATTGTCGACGAAAAGCGTTAAAACTGGGTTGGAGACCAAAGGAAGGCGGTTACGAAAATCACGAAGAAGAAAGCAAAGACATGCTGAGGTTCATGAGAACTGTGCCAGCACACAGGTGAGCATCCAATTATAGAATCAAGTTTATCCAGCCCAAATTGTACTGCTTCCAATGGACCAATAAGCGGCCTGGAGTACGGTAGAAAATACGGTATGGGCTGGAGTTTAGAGATGAATTTCTCAGCCACAAATAAACTGTATGAGTACCGCTTGGGTACTGACTTAGTCAGGATTGCTCAATCAGCGCGCACAAGAGAAACCCAAATCATAACTTTTATCGTCTAATTTTCTCAATTGTAGACTCGCGCTACACATGATTGGAAATCGAGTATTCTTCACTGAAGCTCGGCTACCCCTTACTCCCATCGTTGATGGCGAAATCCTCCCCAAGCCAATTCCTGAACTCCGCGCTGAAGCCCCAGTAATGGAGTCGATTTGCGGAGTTGGTCAACAGGAATCGCTGCTTTTCTGTAAGTCTTACTGTACATATCTGCTTGGGATCCAAGTTACCGTAATCGTCTCCCGCAGGTGCACTTGGAGCGATTAAAGGCACGGGAAAGGACATGGATAAGGTGGTGCACGAATTGGCCCGGCAATCAGGGCTGAGCATTGTGGAGGTGGAGAATATCATGGGAAAACTTTACGGAGATTTGGATGTCTTACGAAAGGATAGAAAGGCTATGCAGGAGGCTTATGTTACGGTGGGTCCTTACGATAGTCGATAAATCAATAAATCAATAACAGTCATTTTTAGTGCACCTCCGATATATTCTCCAACTATGGCTGCTATAAGTATCTCCAACACAGCCAACAACACAATAAATCCACATTCGCCTACTACTTCACTTATACAAGCAAACCCATGTGGGGATGGTTGATGGCTACTGCTCCATTCTTGTGTAAGTTTTACCAAACTGCTATCCGAATCTCTCTACTGCCCGTATTATTCCAGCCGGGACTCATAGCTCGGATATCATCTACTTGTTTGACTGTAACTACTACTCATCACCATTCCCAATGAGCAAACCGGATAGGAAGGTTGCTGAAATGACCAGTGCTGCATTTATGGCATTTGTGAAAAATGGGTGAGTCAGACAAATAACTAATTGAAAAAGTTGGCTTCAAAAAGGTTCAAAATTGTTCTCCCTTTTTCAGAAATCCAAATAATGCCGAAGCACCGTTCAAATGGGAAGAAGTGTCAAAGGAGGGCGAAATGAAAATGTTGGACTTTTGCGAGAGGCCGACGATGATTGATCAGGTCAGCTCATCATTATATTCCAAAACACATATGAACAAAAGCAAACTAGGTCCCGCGATATTAATACTCTTGGTTTTGATTGGTCTAATAGTCTGATTGGTCGCAAGGCCAAGGTGGGCGCGTCTTGTCGTGATTGGTACTTTGCTAAAACTGGGGTACGGTAGAACGCGACAGCAACGAGTTTAATTTGCGATTGCTTTTGTTAAGAAATTATTTATCTTTCCAAGCAATAAATACACTGAAAGAAAATTTTTTTCAGATTTTCAACAATCGAATGCAACGGCTCCAAGATCTTCTCAAGCAACTGACTCCACGTAAACACCAAGCTCCGTAAGCGCTTCAAACTCAGCAGCTTCTTCCCTTCAAAATTTCCTCTAATCTGGATATGAAACTCACAGCTGGAAGCTGCTCGGATGCTCAGACTTCGCTCCTCGCCTGAAGTCAAAACTAGGATTGTTATTTTTTGTTCATTGTTGCCTACTACACAACTGTGATTTTGTCTGCAATTTCACATTCCACTTCTCAAAATGGCTCTGAGCCATTTGAGCATACTAATTCTTGTACATTCCTTCTAATCCGTGTCAGACATATTCTGGTCTTCACTGTAAAATACTTACTCATGCTATTAATTTTTCTTTGTTAGGTTTACATTGTATTTTCGAGCGAATGATCTCACTTAGATTTGACAACTTTGTCTGTTTATCGTCAAATTATACATGTGATAAAAATCGTTGTTGACTTCTTTTTTGGCGCTTGCAAACAAATTAAGAATTTTACAGAAGCATCTCGCATGCGGAGAGGAGTCAAGCATTGTTTACGTATAAGTTTCGTTATATAGTGCTCAATGAGAGGTGGATGAGGAGAGTGCAAACTAACGGACCGAGCATGCTTCACGCGATTTCAGTCGCGACGCGATTTGGCAATATTCCAACTGTCCGTAACTTCTGTAAGCATATTCTAAATATACAGAAGATATGGCATTTTATTAATCCATGTAAGTTATACACACTATGCATTTGCAGTTCGCTAATGTTGGATCTGAAGAGTTTTGGCGAATTGCGAAATCGCGTCGCGACTGATCGCGTGAAGTATGCCCGGCCCTTCTGCTGAATGAATGTAAATCAACAAATATGTTCAAAAATGTTCAACAAAGTTCTACCAATTAACCTGGTTTCGGCATAAGAAAATCCTACACAACGATCAAAACAAAAATGCCCAGGTTCAAAAAAGAGAACACATGGAAATTGTTCAAAAATGGAAACAATAAATGAAAATTAGAAAAGTGCAAATGAATATGTAAATGAATAAAATCTTCTTATATATAAACATGAATATCTGCTGTATGTTTGTCGATCTATATCTATGTGCCAGGTAGACTCATTTCTGAACCGATCGGGACCAAAGTTTGCACACAAACGCTTCGAGAGGGGGGGGGTTGTAAGCTATTTTCCTTATCGATCGATATCAGTTTTTATCGATTTGGAAAGACGAGCTACGGGTCTTGGGCCTGCCAGAGGGGGGGGGGTGAGCATGCTGATTGGATATACAATATCAGTCCAAAAATATCGATTACTTTTATCAACTTCATCGCTTTCTTGCAAAGTTTGAGCTGGGGGCTGGGAGTCAGCGCAAAGTCAGGTAAGTAGACACGTTTTACACAATGCCTAGTATTATCGATCACCCTTATTGATTTTGCCAATTTTTTGGTATAAAATATTGTTCGTATGACATGCAGTATTGTCTTGTATGGAGTTATGTGATGTGATACCATTTCGAAAAATTAATGGTCTGCACTACATTGTGTCACCTACTCGAGATAAAAACCTAAAGGCACAAATGTTCTTCATTTAGTCCACAGAGAACAAAGTACTCTTTTGTGTCCTTGTCCGTCCAGAAACTGGAAGTTTACTACATAGTAGTGGTGACACTAATGAACTAATGTTATGACAGCGCGTAAGTGATCAAAGGTCACACAATCGCATCCTTGAATCAGGTCATTCATTTCTCAGTCGTTTCACAAAATTGTTAATAGTGTTGATTTTCTCGGTTGGAACTAGGTTTCTCGAAATTGAAGGGTCGTGAGGAGAAAATGTAAAGTTTGAATACTTGAATATGCAAAAAGGGGTTACCTGAGCAAGAATCTTCTTTCCATCTCTGCTCGTCGTAAAACATTGGACTTAGAATCTTGATAGATTCATTTCGGCATTATTCCTGATTCTACCAGAATTAGTAGAAAATAGAGATAGCAAGTCTGTCACGCCTTCTCTGTACTTTGCCCTACACAGAAACGGTAAAACTTTCGCTCATAAATTTCGATTAGAATTTTGATTTATTGCCTCAAAAGAGCCGTTTACATCGAGACACACTTCTTTAGATTTTGACAAGAAACCGGTATGATACATATGTTTTGTGTTTAGTGACTGAATAATCGGCGAATATTGAAGGGTTACACTGCTGAAAGATGTCATAAGAGATAAGTAAGGACCCTTAGAAAAAGACGTCTTGGTTAAATTGTACGTCTTGGTGTCATGAAAAGTGGACTTCGCTTTGTTGCAAAACGGGATAACGTTGTATGATCCCCCGACGACAGAAATGGTTTCCGAAAGCATAGAGCTTTCTGCTGACAGCTACATGCAAGCTACGATCGAGCTTTGTTTTGTATCCAACTTGCTATCACATGATTGAGCAGTTCTTGGGTAAATCGTATAAAGCATTTACAATTCACTCAAAAATATCTCAGGTAGCAGGATTTTCGCCCGGGGAGAGTTGGGGGAGGGGGGGGGGGGGAGGAAGAGGGTTGGAGCAAAACCTTTTTTCAAAAGAAGGGGAGTGGCGTCAGCCACGCACTCCAAAAAAAATTTTGGGGCGCTTCTTAGATTGTTTGCAGAACCAAAACCCTAAATTCCAAAAAGGGGCGAAGCGGCAGCCATGCTCCCAAAAAATTCTTTTACAGGGCTAATTTGAATTATTTTGAAAAACTTTAAAAATTATTTTAGTTATTTACAAGAACAAACAAGTCACTTGCACATTTTTGTTAGGGACGTAAGTAAATTTCAAAAATTTTGCGACCCATTCTCGGGGGGGGGGGGGGGAGGGGTGAATACGCGGTAAGTTCGCGGCCGGCAGCGAGTTTTCGCCAATTTTTGCAGATTTTGCTTGCAAGGGAAGATGTTCTATCAAAATGGCTTTCCAGGTAGGACGTACAACATGAGGGCGTGAGAAGCTAAGTCTGCCTTCTTTATCTGCGGAACAGAGTGTTTACTGGAGCAAAAACTGCTGGATATTCAAGTGAAGAAAAAATAATTGCGATATTGTTTGGTGCCCCAATGAAGCAGCAATAACACTTTATTTGATAAGTACTCTCATAAGGAAGGATAACTGGTGACCGTGGACTTTTGAAATACGTTATACATCAGGATGCTCGCCTCTAGACGCTGATCTCTCTCTTTATCTGGGGAACGCTTTTCCGAGAAAAAATAGCGTTAGTGAAAGCATAGGCAAAAATTCTTCCACTGACAGAGGCAGTGTCCTAGCAAAAATGCGACTTTGGGAATTGTGCTTTTTTGGGCCTATTCGCTATGCACAATCCGAGAATCCATATTGAAGAGCACGAAAATGGTAAAAAAAGGGCTTTAACGCAGGGGGGGGGGGATCAGCCGGTGGGCGGAGCTTTCCATGTGAAGTCACTCTTCCAGATTCAGAAGCGATCTTCTGCACCAGTTTCAAGTCACGCTTTTACACTTGACCGGTGGCAATGCTGAAGCGGCTAGCGGAATCGAGAAGATCACTCCTGAAGCTGGGACAGCGACTTCACAAAAGTGAAGTCGCTGCTGATTACTGTCTTGCCTCAGAGCCCTCTTTTCGCCGCTTTCGAGCTTTCCGATGTGAATTCTCGGATTTAGCATAGCGAATAGGCCCAGGTAAGCAATAGAGCTCAGAATCGACCTTTTGCCCGGGCTCAGCCTTAAACCGGCATCCGTTGTGTAAAATCACCAGCGTTAACCGCTGACCGTTCAACACCTACTATCGACATTACTGATAGTGTAAACACGTCAAGTAGGAGAAGGCATGGTTTTTCTAAATAATCGTTCCGCAGATAATTACAGTAATAAGGTGAAAGGCCACGGTCACCAAGTATTCTCTTCCCTTTAGATTATTTTTTATATCACGGTTGCTTATTTAAGGACTAGCAACTTATATTATTCTAAATGCACGTTCAATATCCAAACGCTCATAACTCCTTGTTCAGGGATGCTCCGCAGATAAGGCAAATTCGAAATTAGCGTTTCATTCCCTCAATATAATATACATCATCTAAAATAGCCACTTCGACTAAACATCCTTCCCTTATCAACTGATTATTTGATGTGCTGACACATTATTGATTTGCTGGTGGCACATTGTAGTGACACTGTAGGAGGGGGACGTGCACAATTTTCCAAAGACTCTCCGCTTTTACTCCAGGCGCGCCCTTGAGGGGCAATAATCCTGTTGCGCCTATCTACGCCTATCTCGCGCACTCGCACATATCTCGTATATGCTGCTTTACTTCCCCTCCGAGCGATCGCTTTCTTCTGGCATTAATGAAACTTCAGCATACAGACTACGCTTTGGTGATGATAAAGCAATGGATGTGTTGTGAAAAGAAACTGTCTACGAAATGCATAGACTGTCAAAGCAGGTACTTTCAATACTTTTTATCGTCGCCATTGAATATATGATAATTATGCACCCTCATCTGCGCAGCGTATTTGATTATAAGCACTTCCGTAATACTCGACTACGCAGACAGTTCTAAAGTCTTCTTCTTTTTCCGACTTTTCAGCTAGCCGATTAGACTGAAATTCATATCCTTGTAAGAATAATTGGGGACATTATTCAAAGGGAGCAGTTTTTAAAGCGAAATACCACTGAAAAGTTTCTTTTACTAATGATTGCTGGTTTTCTTGTTGTTCCAACAACACTTTTATTTTCTGGAAATTATTCACAACGTTTATGTGAGTTTCAGTTGATGCCAGGACGAACAAGGGAACAAGGCGATTGTTCGGAAGAGAACTAATGTAAGACGCAGGATAAGAGCGTTGTGAATGCGAGGTAGGCGCGAAGAGAATTACCTCCCAAAGACGCGCCTAGAGGAGGGAGGAAGAGTCTGTGGAGGATCTGCTACGCTTCCTGTAGGAGTACAGTTAGAACCCACTTTGATCGGATTTGTTCTATCACCTTAAAGTATTTCTAATGCGATGATTGCGATGAGTTGGATGATTACATTCATTTGCTACCTAAGCCGCAGTGTGCAAAGATATTTACGGTGTGGGATCAGTTCAGCTGCATTCGAAACGTTGTTCATGGCTGGTTTCGCGTACTGGTTTTGGTCAGAAGGATCTCAAGTCAGTGACGATCTGAAATGAATGATATCGTTAAACGCACCTTGCACTCCATAACTTCTATTTAGAGATCTGTCCAAGAATGTTGAAGGTATTAGATTTGAAATCAATTCACCAAGGTGCATTTAACGATATCATGCTGAGGAAAATGTTAAGTAGATAGGCGATAATTAACTATCAAAAAATACCTTCTGCATTCGCCAAACATCAGTCTTTGCAAATTTTGAAG